GCCAGGCGTGGACTGAGCAGTTTGTAGAGAGAGCACCAGGTGTGGAGACCGTTGTTGTCTGGCCTGGTTCTGTAGTGAGCTTCGCGGATGTTGTCGATGGCAATATGTGCGTTGTTGTCTGCTTGGTGCTTTTTAATGTGCTGGACACCTGACCTGACGTGGAGAAAAGGCCATGCGTGGCGGCCGTTGTCGCTTGGCCTGGTTCTGTAGTGAGCTTGGCAGATGTCGATGGCAATATCTGTGTTGTTGTTTGTTTAGTGCTTTTTAATGTGCTGGACACTTGACCTGAGCTGGAGGAAATGCCATGCGTGGAGGCCGTTGTCGCCTGGCCTGGTTCTGTAGTGTGCTTGACGGATGTTGTTCCGGTTGTTGTAGTTTCGGCAGTTGTTGTAGCTTCGGCAGTTGTAGTTTCAGCAGTTGTAGTTTTCGCAGTTGTTGTAGTTTCAGCGGTTGTAGTTTTAGCAGTTGTTGAAGCTTCGACAGCTGTTGTTATAGTTTCAGCAATTGTTGTAGTTTCAGCAGTTGTTGTAGTTTCGGCAGCTGTTGTTCTAGTTTCTGGAGTTGTTGTTGTAGCTTCGGCAGCTGTTGTAGTTTCAGCAATTGTTGTTGTAGTTCCAGCAGTTGTTTTAGCTTCGGCAGTTGTTGTAGCTTGAGCAGTTGTTGTAGCTTGAGCAGTTGTTGTAGCTTTGGCAGCGGTTGTAGTTTCAGCAATTGTTGTAGTTCCAGCAGTTGTTATAGCGTCGGCAGTTGTAGTTTCAGAAGTTGTAGTTTTAGCAGTTGTTGTAGCTGCGGCAGCTGTTGTTATAGTTTCAGCAATTGTTGTAGTTTTAGCAGTTATTGTAGTTTCAGCAGTTGTAGCTTCGGTAGTTGTTGTAGTTTCGGCAATTGTTGTCGTTACAGCAGTTGTAGCTTCAGCAGTTTCGGCGGCTGTTCTAGTTTTAGCAGTTGTTGTAGCTTCGGCAGCAATTGTAGCTTCAGCAGTTATGGTAGTTTCAGCAGTTGTTATAGCTTCGGCACTCGTAGTTTTAGCAGTTGTTGTTTTAGCTGTTGTTGTAGCTTCGACAGCTGTTGTTATAGTTTCAGCAATTGTTGTAGTTTCGGCAGCTGTTCTAGTTTTAGGAGTTGTTTTTGTAGCTTCAGCAGTTGTTGTAGCTTCAGCAGTTGTTGTAGCTTCGGCAGTTGTTGTAGCTTCAGTAGTTGTTGTTGTAGCTTCGGCAGCTGTTGTTATAGTTTCAGCAATTGTAGTTTCAGCAGTTGCTGTAGTTTCGGCAGTTGTTTTAGCAATTGTTGTCGTTTCAGCAATTGTTGTAGCTTCAGCAGTTGTAGTTTCAGCAGCAGCTGTTGTTGTAGTTTTAGCAGTTGTTGTAGCTTCTGCAGCTGTTGTAGTTCCAGCAGTTGTTGTAGCTTCGGCAGTTGTTGTAGCTTCGGCAGCTGTTGTTGTAGTTTCAGCAATTGTTGTTGTTTTACCAGTTGTAGTTTTAGCAGTTGTAGCTTCGGCAGCTGTTGTAGTTTTAGCAGTTGTAGCTTCGACAGTTGTAGTTTTAGCAGTTGTCGTTGTAGTTTCAGCAGTTGTTGTAGCTTCAGCAGTTGTTGTAGTTTCAGAAGTTGTTGTAGTTTCAGCAGTTGTAGTTTCGGAAGCTGTTGATATAGTTTCAGCAGTTGTTGTTGTAGCTTTGGCAGCTGTTGTAGTTCCAGCAGTTATTGTAGCTTCGGCAGTTGTAGCTTCAGCAGTTGTTGTAGCTTCGGCAGCTGTTGTTGTAGTTTCAGCAGTTATTGTAGTTTCAGCAGTTGTAGCTTCGACAGTTGTAGTTTTAGCAGTTGTCGTTGTAGTTTCAGGAGTTGTTGCTGTAGCTAGAGCAGTTATTGTAGCTTTAGCAGTTGTTGTAGTTTCAGCAGTTGTTGTAGCTTCAGCAGTTGTACCTTTGGCAGTTGTACTTTTAGCAGTTGTTGTTGTAGTTTCAGCAGTTGTTGTAGCTTCAGCAGTTGTACCTTTGGCAGTTGTACTTTTAGCAGTTGTTGTAGCAGTTTTTGTTGGGGTTTTGGCACTTGTTGCTTGAGGCTCGGCGGTTGTTGACAGAGTTTCAGTCAGAGTAGACGTTAGGAGTCCCGCAGCAGTGGTTGGTGAAGTCTCGGCAGTTAACACAGTTGAGGCATGTGTAGAATATGGCGATGTCGTCCAGAGTAGAGTAGAAGGTGACATCGATGTAGACGGCTGAGTAGACGCGCTAGTGGTCTTCCAGGTACTTGTTATTTGCGATGTCTGTTGGGGAGTAGACGCTGCTACTGTCATCGAGGTTTCTTTAATAGTTGTAGTAGTGGGAGAGGTAGTGGTGGAAATTTGCTGCGTGCTGGTATACCCTCGTGTACTTTGTTTTTCTGTTGATTCCATGTCGGCTGTCGACATAGGAGTTGTTGTTCTAAACACTCCCTCGGTTGATGATGTACCTTGCTGATGTGTTGATACACCTGTTGACGTATACACAGTCGATAATGGTGGTGGTAGAGTTGTCAGTAATACCGTGCTTGTTTGTTGTGATGTGCTTGGTTGAGTTGTGGCTTTGACTACATGACTTGTACTAGATGGAACAACAGAGGTGGTGGCCGTTGTCGCTTGTTCTGCATAAGTGGTGTGTTTAGAAGATGACTGTACTGTTGTGCCTTGTAGAGTAGAAGTGGGCAGCCCTTCTGCCGTTGTTGTTGCAATTTCGGTGGCTGCGGTTGAAAACTGCATAGATGTCAATGGCACAGTATATGGGGATGTTGAAGTAGTGAACTTGGTGGATGGTGCCCTACTAGTGGTCTCCTGAGTAGTCTGTCCACGAGATGTGGTCGAAATTTCTGCAACATCGGTGCTGCCTCTGGCAGATGTTCTCACTGATGCTTTTGTAGATATGAATAGTTTTTTGGCAGTTGTCGGCGGAAGTTCTGTGACCAGCCCTTCTGCTGTTGTTGGCAGAAAATCTAAAGCTTCGCTTGTTGTTGGCAAAATTTCTGTGGTAGTTGTAGGAATGTATGTTGTTTTTATGGGTACCGTAGATGTAGACGTTGTTGTAGACAATTCGGTGGATGCTGCCGAGCTAACTGTTACCGTAGAACTCCCCAGGAGTGTCTGTGACGTGCTTAACAGTTCTTCTGTTGTTTTCAATGATGGCAAAGTCGATCCTGAAACTGTGATTGACGTGGCAGTTGTAATTTTGCGCGGGCTTGTTTCTTCTTGTGTAGATGGCATGTCAGTACTTGCTAAAGTGTGAGAGGTAGTAGACATTGGTTCAAGTGATGAGCGCTGTGCAGTAGCTGTTGGTGTCAGTCCAACAACTGTAGACTGTGTTGATTGTCCAATCGTGGTGGAAACTGTAGATGCTAGTATTGTTGCTTGTGTCGTAACTTCTGTACTGGACGCTTGTAATAACGTTG